CGAAAATATACGATTCTGTGGTGGTAATTGTAGATGGTAATTGGTTACTGGTGCCGGACACGTTTAAGGCTTGGGAGTGGTCAGAATTTAGAGGTTGGAACACGTTCATTGGTTCTAGGAAGGTTTGATTTATCGTATTCGCCAAGTGTGAAAGAGATGCGTTGCCTTCGTTGGTTTCATTGGTTTCATCACCAGTGGGTGACAGGCTTTGAAGATGTCGGAGATCATACTTGTGGTTGACTGGATCCATTCCACACAGGTACTTAACAGATTTCCACCACTGTTTGGGATCAGAGGCTTTAAGTTGACTGACTTTTGAGTCATAGTATTTACTCCGGCATTGTTTTCGTTCCCTATTGACGCGGTTACGAAGACTTTTAAATAACTGGTCATGTCCTTTCGCTAATGCTTTTTGACGTTGCTCAATTAAAGATTTCAAATGTTTGGTCATCCACGGTGGGTCATCGAGCCGTTTCTTTATAGTTTTTGTGGGAAGGAGAATGTCCATCCCAAACCGAATAATTGATTCAAAAGCAGACCATTTTTCATCACATGACGAAAGGGAATCAAGGATTGACCAGTCAAATTCAGTAATGAAGGTGCTGATAGCTGCTTTGTTTCTCGGGTGTTGAGGTGTGGGAAATATCATATTTTGTTCTTCCTGCAACCTTGTGTTTAGGCGTCGAAAGGATAGTAAAATGGTCGGAGAGACCAAAAGGTGGAAGTTTAACTGGCGGTAGGTAAAATTTAGCCAAGTTAGTTAGAATTAAATCAAGGGTTCTCCTTCCACGAGTCGGGAATTTAACCAATTGTTTTAGACTGAAGTGGTTATTTAGACGATGACAATTAAGATTATTAAAGTCTCCAAGTAGAATAAGACCACAATTGTAATAAGTTGATTCGATAAATGACAATTGTTCAGTTAGGAAGTCAATCATATTTCTATCATTTGCTGAGGGTGGATGGTAAATTGAACCAATGATAATGCAAGATAGGCCCCTCGGCAATTTGTGAGGACGAGCTTTAACCCACAAGACCTCGAATTGATCATTATGGTATTGACTGAGAATTTCGAATGGGATTGACTCCTTTACATAAAGGCACACTCCTCCATGTTGGCCAATTAGGCGATCTCTTCTTACAACATTATATCCCAGAATCTGGATGACGTTATCATGTACAAGGTCAGTCAGCCACGTCTCAGTAAAGCACGCGAGATCGGCGTCGGTTTGTAACACTGAGTGACGGACTTCATCGATCTTGGGTGCCAAAGACATTGTATTTGATAGCATAAGACTTGGAACAGGTTCGCTAATATTCGGAATAGACGATTGTTCAGCTGAGACATATTCAGCAGAATGTAGGTTTGCTAGGGACTCGTTTGTCACATGAATATTTGAGTGGTTTGAACCTAGGTCAACATTATTTAGCGTATTATTACGGTGAATTTTATTGTTTAATACACTGGAGGTCTGGTTGTTTGTATCGACATCAGTGGAGGTGGATACGGGAGCGGCCGAAGAGGAGGGTAAAACATTGGAAACTTCATCGGGGTAAAAAATGTGGTTGATAGGAAAGGGGAGTTTGGTTATGAACATAGGGGGGCGCAACATATGGGGGCGAGTAGGCACCAATAGGGATTTGTTGGAATTGAGAGCGGCTCCTTGGGGGTTGAACCTCATTGTGCAAGAAGTCGCACCTAGAACCCTTCAAACAATATCCCCTCTTTCTTAGGAAGGGGCACGGAACCAAATTCTTGGGCTGCAGTTGAGATAAACGATTAGCCGACGGGACACCATTCTCATGTTGCAAAACTTTTCTAGGTAAACTTGAATTACCGTTTGGCCTGTCAAGAAAGCTATTGTCTGCCATACTATCCCTACCATTGTTATGCCGCAACAGGGGTTTATCAGTGATTGTTAAATCGACAGTGTTAAGGTTAGGCAATTTAACATTAATCAATTGTTCGCAGTCGTGAGACTTGTCACTCGGGTTAACAGCGTGTAATGGCCCTTGGGGGCTATTGTTTCCGTCGCTATGTGTATTGTCACTCGGGTTAACCGCATGTAATGACCCTTGGGGGCTATTGTTTCCGCCACTATGCGTATTGTGGATTACCTCTTCACGCATCAAAAATTCCATAGAAAATAATTTAGATTTGAGAACCATATTTTCATCATTAATTTTGCAAATTAACTCATCTTGGCGTCGAATAACAACCTCCAAATCATTTTGTTTTGCTTTTAGAGTTTTAATTTCTAACTTGATCTCCTCTAAGGGAGAGGCGCTGACAAGTCGAGACTCTAAAACTGCCATATCAAGTTTTATTCCCTCCAATTCTGCTTTGGTAACGTTGCTACCACAAGTACAATTACAACAACATACCTTGAAACCATTGAGGCGCTCATTCTTGTTTGCACAAACTTTTGCAGTCGATTTTACCGCTAGTTCTTTAGATTTTAGATCGTTATCTTGAGATTTGACATCGTGTACACTTTGTGTCGCTTTATCCGCTGTATTTGAAATTATCTTATCAGTTAATGCATCCCCAGTACACGAGTCGTCTAGAGCAATAACTTCAGACGGCATTTCATTGTTTTCGTCAAATTCATTTGTGTTGACTAGGCTTTGAAATAACAACTCAAGGTAGCGTTCTTCATTATCGACTTGAATTACAATCTTCTTGGAGCTTACGCCATACCATTTAATTAAGAAGTCCGATTGTTCGGAACGAAAGACTTTCGCCTCGCCACCAGGGGACGTCCAAGAGCCGGCATGTAGCTTCAAATGTTGTTCTACAAAGCTCTTCAACTCAAGCAAAGACCCACTCCAACGATATGTTTTGCCGTCGTATGATAGCTTATTAGTACTCATCGTCTTAATATAACTAGTAATTAAAAACTAAAACCCAAATTGAAACGAAGATTGAAGAGCCCTAAAACAGACGTCTGAACACGGTGAAATACTCTGAAATGACTTTCCGATAATTTATTATAGATAAAATTAACAGTCAGTAACTGACTGTTAATTTTATCTATAATAAATAAGCATCTCCTAACCCAAGGTATGCTTTGGCTTCCTCTCGTTTATATCTTCGTTTTCTTGCAATTTCCAAGGCATTCTCAAAGTATTCAATTGCCGTTTGAATCTGATTGTTCAATCTATAAGCATCTCCAAACTCAAGGTACGCGCATGTTTCCTCTTGTTTATATCCTCGTTCTTTTGCAATTTCCAAGGCTTTTTCATAGTATTCCATTGCTTTTTGATTCTGATTGTTCAGTCTATAAGCACCTCCTAATCCAAGGTACGCGCGTGTTTCGTCTAGTTTATATCCTTGAGCTTTTGCAATTTCCAAGGCTTTGTCATAGAATTCCATTGACTTTTGAATCTGATCATTCAATCTATAAGCATTTCCTAACCCAAGGTACGCGCATGATTCCTCTTGTTTATATCCTCGTTCTTTTGCAATTTCCAAGGCTTTCTCATAGCGCTGAATTGTCGTTTGAATCTGATTGTTTAATATGTGAGCATCTCCTAACCGAAGGTATGCTTTGGTTTCCTGTCGTTTATATCCTCGTTCTTTTGCAATTTCCAAGGCTTTCTCATAGTGCTGAATTGTCTTTTGAATCTGATTGTTTAATTTGTAAGCATCTCCTAATCCAAGGCATGCATTTGTTTTCTCTAGTTTATGTTCTCGTTTTTTTGCAATTTTCATGGCTTTCTCATAGTACTGAATTGTCTTTTGAATCTGATTGTTCAATCTGTAAGCATGTCCTAACCCAAGGTATGCTTTGGTTTCCTCTAGATTATATCCTCGCGGTTCTTTTGCAATTTTCAAGGCTTTGTCATAGTGCTGAATTGCCGTTTGGATCTGATTGTTCAATATATAAGCATCTCCTAACTCAAGGTATGCTTTGGTTTCCTGTCGTTTATATCCTCGTTCTATTGCAACTTTCAAAGCTTTTGTATAGTGCTGAATTGCCTTTTGACTCTCATTGTTCATTCTATAAGCATCGCCTAACCCAATGCATGCGTTTGTTTCCTCTTGTTCATATCCTCGTTCTTTTGCAATTTCCAAGGCCTTCTCATAGAGTTGAATTGCCCTTTGAATCTGATTGTTCAATCCGAAAGCATCTCCTAACCCAAGGTATGCTTTAGTTTCCTTTATTTTATATCCAGCTCGTTCATTTGCAATTTCCAAGGCTTTGTTAAAGTATTCAATTGCCTTTTGAATCTGATTGTTCAATATATGAGCCTCTCCTAACCCAAGATATGCGTTTGTTTTCTTTTGTTTATATCTTTGTTTTCTTGTAATTTCCAAGGCTTTCTCATAGTGTTGAATTGCCGTTTGAGTCAGATGGTTCAATCTATAAGCATCCCCTAACCCAAGGTGTGCTTTTGTAATCTGACCTTGATCATTTCGTTCCTTTGCAACTTCCAAGGCTCTCTCGTAGTGTTCCATTGCCACTTCAATCTGATATTTCAATTTAAAAGCATTTCCTAACTGAAGATTTGCCTCGGTTATTTCCTTTGTCTCTTTCATTTCCTCAGCGAATTTCAAAGCTTTTTGAAAGTTTTCAATTGCTAGTTGAAACTCACGTCTCTTTATACAAGAGCGTCCGGAGTTAAAGTGCTCTTCTATTCGTCGCTTTTCAATTATTTTCTCCATTCTTTTATATTAGTGCAGCTTGTGTATTTTTGTTAAATACAGTAGATAGCTGAAAGTAGAAATGAGCTATTTGATTAAAAGCCTTTATCTTAATTGTTAGTTTAAAGCTATTATTAGTATAGGAAATTACACGGTTCGAGAAGTATTAATGAAAAATCGCACGCGTGTTTGGCGAAATATTTATAATCCAGCATTATAAATATTTTTGTCAAACACGAGTGTGATTTTTCATTGATACTTCGAGAACAAGTGTAATTTCCTATTCATATAATTTTATAATCAACTTTACGAGCGATCAATGGCAAGAAACATTGTATTGAAATGTATTCAAGCGCGAGTACAGCCATATACAGTATATAACCTATACGTACCTTTGTGATTTTCTGACATTAATTTTAATTCGTGCATGTAAATACTGTGAATAATTTTTATTTCATCTTTCTCTTCTGTTTAAGCGCTCATTGGCATTGCAAAATTAGAGCTTAGAAAATAAAATTTTTCACATTGTTTATACAGTTTTTGTATTTAAATTAAACCCCTGTCCTCATGCACGTCGGCATATGGAATGCACGCAGAATTGATTTAAGCCTCGTTTTGGTACGGCACGGATAAAATTGGTACCCGTACCACTTTTTTAGTTCTTGGTAGTCCAAGAACCAAAAAGTGGTACGGTAGCAAAAATTGAGCGTAGTGTAAATGGGGCTTAGCTAATAGGTAGTCCAAGAACCAAAAAAGTGGTACGGGTAGGCTACCGTACCAATTTTATCCGTGCCGTACCAAAAATTGAGCGTAGTGTAAACGGGGCTTTATTTATTGTGTTTCACTTCCAAACATACAATAATTATCTCATAGAAGCTGGGACACCACAACAGCATAACACCAACTACAGTGGGCCTTCACAAAATACCAATATAAATATAGAAAACATGCAAAAATAACCTGCACAACGCGATCCGCCGTGTAAGATTCGTATTCTGGAGTATGCAATAGGCAATTCCAGCTTTTAGTTTATGCCTGCAGGGGATGATGGGGAGTAAGGTATCATATTGGTGATTATGCTGAAAAAATAAAAATGGTGGCCGTGTAAACACGGAGTGATAGCTTATACTTGTAAATATTGAAATATTTCAGTTGTTTCGGTAGTTTTTATTTAAATTTTTCAGCATAATCAGCAATATGATACCTTACTTCCCATCATCCCCTGCAGGCATATACTAAAAGCTGGAATTGCCTATCGAGTAGGCACGCGTCAATTTGTGCATTTAAAGTTTCGCTTCAATTCAATTCAGATTTTGGAATTGTGGCATCAAATGAATTTCATACAACAGAACCCGAAACGGCACGGTTTTTAATTAATCAGAATCGAGAAAATTGAGTAGAATAACATTAAATAACGTAAACTATTGTTGTTTGTCGACAGCTTTTTGTATCAGCTGGTCAGCGGCTATCTACTTTGTTACGCTCAACAAGGACGTGCCGATGTTCACTAAATGTCCACTAGGTAGATATACAGAGAATTTCTCTACAGCTGTGTAACTTTTGAAACTGTCGTTCATCTCTTCATACCATTAGGCTGTTATTTTTAAAATAAGGGAAACGGGCAATGGGAAGCCCCAACAGCGTAGTGGGAGAATCACAAAATTATCTTTCCTACACTTACGCAAATTGTTAATTGTTTTCTGGAAACAGGTGTTTTCCCAACAGCCTGGAAGAAAGCAGAGGTTATCCCACTTCTGAAGGAAGGGGATTATGAAATTCCGAATAATTATATAATAATCGGCCCGTGTCGTTGTTAGTGGCTGCATCTAAGATCTGTGAACGCGTGGTATTGAAACAGTTAACAGAGTATATGACAAAGAGGAAAAAATTTACTAAACATCAAAGTGGAAATAGGAAGTTACATTCAACCGAAACATCAAACATATTCATCTCAGATTTA